AAAGACCTCTGGTCTCAATTGTATATTAATCTTTAAAATCCTCTGAATCAGTGTGTGTATTTGAATCCATCTAGCTTTTTCACACCTCCACCCAACATGGTAAAACGTCCCTTCTTGTTGTTCACATTTCCAACATAAATTTGAAGTGCCTTTACGCCTCAAGGTTCTCTCAGGGTTTTCATTCATCCCTTGGGGCAGGGAGTACATTCTCCCCGTTCACCTGGCAGCAGGTGGCTTGCCTGTAAGTACTTGTGTCATCGACTTCGGAATGCCCTTGCTGCACACCAGAGCCAGCCGTGTATGCAACTCTTGGACGTTTTCAAAGTCAAGGGATTGGGCAGAGAAAAACCACTTGTTTGGGCTGGCTGAAAGACAAGGCCCAAGCTGATGGGAATGGAAACAGGCTGAGGGGTGCTGAAAAGTGGAAAATCCAGATTTCACGGCGCAGCAAGCGTTGCTGTGTAGGAGGGAAAGGGTGTGCCATCTCAACACACCCAGAAGGGAGAAGTGATAGGGAGGGAGAAAAACCACCTTGGGGCAAAAAGCAGCAATGAGAAGGGGACATGTGGAGGAAGGGGGAAGAAATTTGCCATGGAGGAATCCGGTGAAAAACCTGCTTTAAAACACCTGAACCTCTTCATGTTCCATGCAGACTACGCTAAAGAACATTTGGCTCAGCTGCAAGAGAAAGCGGAACTCATCTCAGGGCGGATGCTCCGGTTCTCTGTTTTCTATCGGAATCACACTAAAGAGTATTTCCAGCATGTCAGGTAAGGATATGCAAAGCCCCAATCTCCGTGAATGGGGGGATCCATTGCAATGGCAACTACCACCCATGTTTGCCATCCAATTGTCGGTTGTTGCTCATGCAAATTCCTCTCCTCCTGACAGTTAGGATTAAAACATGGCTGGGAGGTGGAGACCAAGAGAAGTGAGTACTCCAAGAGCTAGATTTGGCCCAGAAGCTTTTAGTTGCCAATTCTGTATTGTAAGATCTAACCCCCAGATTGTACTCTTCTGACCTGATGTTATGGCTTGCAGCAGGAGGAAGAAAAACTCACAGAAAACACTAAGACGTCCAATCATAGCATCTAGTTTTCCCCATTTTTAAAATTTATTTTTAAAATTTATTTCTATTCATTCATTGAATAAATATCCATTGTTTCACATTTACTAACAGTATCCTAACTTTTATAGTTGAAGTTTGTTTCAAATTCTGAGAAATGAGAATATAGGATGGCATTCATATTCCTGATTATTCCCATACTGATTCATAGACATTAAATGTTATTCCAACCTTCCAATGAATTGAGAGTATTCATCCCCTTCCCCCTTCCCCATGTTTCTGTTGCTTCACAACAAATCATGGAAGATGTTCTTTTGAGCTTCAGAGTGGAGTGGGCATTTGTATGCACTCTTTCCTGCTCCTAGCCTAAAACTCACAACTACCACACAATGTGACCTCTCATAATCCCTACACAACATGATCTTAGTTTATCCTTCCTCCAAGGCTTAAGATACAATACAAAATGCTTTCCCCTCCTGTTGACCCTGGGAGCAAAGATAGGCTATGACGTTGTGCCTGGTCTAGAGTTATCCATTGAGTGACACAGCTGAGATAAGATTTAACTTTAGAAGACAGATCTAAATCCTAATTCTTTAATTACCAGGTTGACGGTGACTTCTCCTCCCTAAGCTAGGCAAATGGAGGATATCTGAGGTGATAAGTTACATAATGTGCTCCCAGCCACTCTTCATTAGTTCCTACTTTCTGGTATTCACTTCCTGAAAATGGTAATCCTGGGTGGAAATATAGCTATGAAGGCCTATCACACTCCCATAATCCCTACCTGATTCCCTCCCAAATTTAAGGCTGGCCTGAATGCTAACCTCATCCTTTTCCTAACTACATGCGTCTCCCTTTTGGCCAGAATGCACAGCGGAAACGTCATGAAGCCGTACTTGAAGGACAACAGCGGTAGCCATGGTTCACCCACTAGTGGCATGCTACACGGCATCTTCTTCAGCTGCAATACTGAGTTCAACACTGGCCAGCCTCCCCAGGACTCCCCTTACGGCCGCTATCGTTTCCAGGTGCCCGCGCAGCGCCTTTTCGGCCCCAATACCAACCTTTACTTTGCGGACTTCTACTGCATGTACACTGCCTACCATTACGTCATTCTGGTGCTGGCGCCTAAAGGTTCTGCTGGAGACCACTTTTGTCGGGAGCGTCTGCCCCAGTTGGACATTTCCTGCAACAAGTTCCTGACCTGTTGCGTGGAGGACGGCGAGCTCATCTACCGTCATGCCCAGGATGTCATCCTGGAGATCATTTATACAGAGCCGGTTGACCTCAGCCTAGGAGTTCTGGGGGAGATCAGCGGCCATCAGCTCATGAGCCTCTCGACTGCTGATGCCAAGAAGGATCCTAGCTGCAAGACATGCAACATCAGTGTGGGGCGCTAGAGACAGGGAAGGGTGGGGGGGGAGGATGGAACGAATATGAATATGAGAGTTCTTGGTGAATCCCATGGCCCTTGAAAGTAAGTGTGGCTGACAACTGGGTCCACCTTGGGTTAAGGGGATGCTAGAGAAGTTCCCCTTCCCGGTGTCTTTGCCTCCATTCTCTCTCTCTCTCTTGCATGTTTCCTTGCCATTGTAAATAAGATTTTTGACTTGGGAAGTGAGAGAGAGTGTGCAATCAGGGCATCTTTGAAGGACCTGCATTTCCAGGTCTACTGATGACAAAAAGGGCAACCCTCGATTTTCTGAGGTCTCTCTCCAGGAAAAAAAGTCCACTTATCTTCTCTTCCATTACTCAGCCCAACCTCAAATGGACATTTCACTTTGCACACACAGCCGGTAGTCTGGCCAGTCCGATGAAAAAGCAGCTTCCTAAACAAAATGTCCTAACTAGAATTTCTTCTCTATCTCCTACCTTACTTCTGTTGGCCCCATTTCTCCCCACAATGTATCTTTTTCACAGGTTCTCTTCATCCATAGCATGATTTGCTTTTTGAAGTAGTATGTTGAAGGTTGGAAGAAGAAGTTTCCGCACCTCATTCTGGGAGGGTCCTGGGCTAAAAGCTCAGCTGGCACAAAGACCACCTCAACTAGGTTTAGCAATGGGCAGAACAGGTTTGTGATCTGCTTAAAGAAACCTGGGATGGGCACACAGGCTACGGAAGGGAGATGAAGAAGGGATTACATAGAGATTCTTTTTTCGCTCATTTCCACAGGGTGTGACATCTTACTCTTTATGTCCTTTACTTATTTTGACTGAAGAAGGGGAGGAGAAGCAACAGGTTCCAACAGGTGTGCTGGAAGCTGGAATGCTGATGGGTGATGTTGCTGTGCAAACATACCCAGCCTGGCTCCCCTGTTTCCCATGATAGCTGGTTACAGATCTGGGCTGGTAAAGCCCTTATCTGCATCTCGCTCTGGGATTGTGTTCTGAAGATGGAGGAGAAAGAAGTTGGAGCCCCATCCATGGTGCAGACAGGAGAATAAGACAGAAAAACAAATCACTTGCAGTCGGATGCTTCTCTTCCCCTATGTTGCAATTCTGTTTTTCTTTTCCACGGTGCAGAAGCATTCATAGGCTGATAGTTCCAGCTGTTCATGTCTAGGTTCACAGCTCCCATTAAACTGGGACGTGATTTGTGAGTTAATGTGATGTGCGAGCCTAGCTATTGTGGTTTGCAACCCATGATTTAAGACCTAAAATGGTTTATATACCTGGAAACTATGATTAACACCAATAATGGCTTAGTGCAGAACAACTGGCTTAGCACAATGCCTGAAATAAGCCAGGGGCATAATATAAGGAAAGGCTTACTTAGCCCTATCTCCTTCCATTCAGTTTCCTTCTTTTTCCCATAATCAGGAGACCACCGACTGAAAGCTTCTCCCATCTTTGCTCCCAACTTCAGATTTTGATCTCAGCAGCCAGGAGGTGCTGGAAACATTGGTTGGGACTCCCAAGGACAATGACATGACTAAAGCCATTGGGTCTCTATTCAAAGAGGTTTAAATTTGGGGTCTACCCAAATTTAAACCTCTTTGAATAGAGACCTAATGCCATTCAGTGGGCTGGGCTTACGATCTTCAGCTAACCACAGCAAAGCTGCTATGGGCATCCAGCAGCAGAGAAACAAGAAGGGGCAGAGGGACCTTCTCTTGGCCTGGAAGGAGAGAGATTCATTTGCAGCCACTCCCCAGCTCTGCGCAGTCTCAGTGTGCCCATACCTTCCGTCTGTCACTGGGAACCTGCTCCCTGGAACAGGCTAGACCTGCTTCTCACATCTGCCAACCACCCTCTTTATGCTGAAGGCTTGGCCTCCTCTTTCATTATAGGGAGTTTTATTTCTATGGGTTTCCTTGAGTTGTGTGAGATAATGTTTCATTTATCAGGGTAAAGCTGCAGATAGCATCCTTTCTGCAGGGAACTTTGAGAAGGCCGTATAGCTCGAACGGCAAGAAATCCTGTGCCTCCCTTCTGTATCCCCACTGGGCGCTTAAGATGTGGCTCGAGATCTTAAAGAGAGTTCATTTTGCAGCAGGTTAGAAACCTGAGGCTTGGAAGGAAGCAAGTACCACATTGAAAAGACCTTTTCCATTCCAGAGCTGACTTAAAGGGAAACACATACACAGTCATCCTCTTGCACCTTGAGAAGATCAACTACTGAGCACCCAAAGAGAAAGAAAGTTTCTCAAGAGGCAAATGAGTCAGAACTTTTCTGCGGTTCTTTGGAATCTGCAGCAAAACCAGCCTCCCAGTCTATCATGCCAAATACAGCCCAAGAACATGCATACTAGTGTGTCAGATATGCAAAAACCCAACCATTCTTATTCTGTTTTTGCAGTCTAGCCAGCAGCACACCGGGGGCTTTATCAGGCCTCATGTGAGCTATCATACATGACTGGTGGGGACCATTCAACTCCGTGAGTTCAGCATTCCTATATACCGCAGTGTGTGCTTCACAATTCTGGTTGGTCTTCAGACTATCCCTAGTAAGCTTGGGAGGTTTTGACTATAAACTAATTGATCCTGGTGGAAAAGCTTCTCTGCAATTACCCTATTTCCCTGCAACTCAGCTTTCTGCAGGAGAAATTTGGCTGCGTTGATGCGGAGCAGAGATGAAGACCAGGAGGACTTAGACTACCAGCTCCAAAGCTTCTGTAATATGAAGAGATTCTGAAGCAAAAAAATGCAGTTGTGGGTCTGCAGGCAAATCAATGTAGAAAGGGATTCTGAGAGAGTTCTGAACCTCTCACCGAAGGATGGAGAATTCCACCGACAAGCTCAGTTACAGAGCTTAGTGGTTGTATTATGAGGCTGGCTCCCTTGACCCTTTGTTAAATTACTGGCATATTCCAGGGAACCTACCCCCCCCCCCAAATTGTAAGTATATAAGAACCAATAAATCAGGTCTTAAGGTGAAGAAGCATCTCCAAGGAGGTGGTGGGGAAGCTTCAGGACCTTAGACGCGTCTTTATTCTTGGCACAGCATTTTGAACTTCCCAAGTGTCCAGCTGTTCAGTAAGGCCAACTGTGTAGTGTTTGCTGTGTGCTGTAGCAGTCCCGTGCCATGAATGCTGCTAAGTATTAATAATAAGAACC